ATCAGAAGTTTCTAGTGAAATAAAAGTAAGGTATATTGCGTTTACATAAGTTAGTCCAAATAAGCATGTGATACCACAGAAAACGAACAGTATAAATGAGGGGAGACTCATGTACTTTTAAATCTCCGTAGAGAAGTTAATCCAGGTGTAAATATAGAGATGAAATGAACTCAAGCCTTTATATTTGTAGGCACAAAATGAATCAAGAAAAAAATGCGTCTTCTTTTTTCCATATGGACAACCATTAAAAGTACGCACAATTTTACTATTTATACTTAATTGTACAACGATACTCCTCGCCGCAATTCATTAATAAACAACCATACACACTACATAACATACAGTCAGTACGACGATTAGTAATACACCATATATTTCACCGTCATGTAAACTGACAAATGCCACGACACTTTAAAAAATGATGGCATTTGCTACTTGACAAAAAACGTTCAGGAAAATAAATGTAAGTTTACGTTGAGTGTATGTTAAAAATGTATGCTATGCTTTGCTCACCCGAGTGCCAATAACGTATTTTCCCTATTGCCTTAATGCATAGACAATGGTGTGAATACTAAATAAATAATAAATCATAGTAAATAAATAAAGACGTTATGAAAATGAATAAAAACAACACAATACTTACGTGAATTTGGGATTTCATATTCGACTTCCAGATCGACCTTCTCTCCCGCGTTTTTGAGGAGGGAGACGATCTGGGCGTGAGTGAGGGCGTGTGTCTTGATGCCATTCACCGCCAGGATGTAATCGCCGACACTTAGGGCGTCTGAGCGGTGGGCGGGGGATCCTGGACGCAGGTTAGCCACTCGAGGGCGGTGACCTTTGTCCACGCCACCTGGGAGCAGAGAGAGAAATTAAAATCTTGTTTCCATTCCGTTGGGAAGTTACGTCACAACTAGGAAATAAGTGCGTGCTTTATTTATTCATCTGTTTTTTTTTTCAGTATCCGTTGCCAAATAGCATGAAAAATCTGGACCGAGCTGAACACAGGAAACATCTGGGTATAAGATTTTTGCGGTTTTTTGAGACAAAAGTTACCAGCTGGGTAGAGTAGCCCCGCAGCTGTTGACAAAAATGGCGCCTTAGAGTTTTGTTATCCGTAATTTCCTTTTATTCATATCACACACACACACACACACACACACACACACACACACACACACACACACACACACACACACACACACACACACACACACACACCACACACACACACACACACACACACATTATCACAAATAGGTGTAAATCTAGAAATTTCGAGAACACCCATGAGAAAAATAAATCTCATGCCAGACCATTCATCAACATTCCACCCTCAGAGTCAACATACGCAAATCGCTATGCTTACGAGAACGTTGATTTTACGACGAATTAACGACTTAAACGTGATGTCTGTGCTTCTCAGACTTTGCGCGCAGCTGAAGGGACAGAACTCATTATATACGCTGTTTCCGTACGAATCTCTCTCCATTTCTCAAAAAGAGCGCTTTATGAGTTTTATTTCTTATTCTTTATTTTTATTTATATTTTTTTTTTTTTGTTTTTTGTTTTGTTTTGTTTCAGATTAACAGCGCGGGCACGTGGGTTTGTGCGGTGGATACATCCTTGTGCTTATACACATTTATAAGTAATATATGTCTATATATCTATCTCTTTGTCGATCTATTTATCGTGTGTGTGTGTGTGTGTTGTGTGTGTGGTGTGTGTGTGTGTGTGTGTGTGTGTGTGTGTGTGTGTGTGTGTGTGTGTGTGTGTGTGTGTGTGTGTGTGTGTGTGTGTGTGTGTATATATATCTATATATAATATAATATATATATATATATATATATATATATATATATATATATATATATATATAATATATATATTATATATATATATATATATATATATATATATATATATATATATATATATATATATATATTATATATATATATATCCCTTTTCCCTCTCTGTTATTATTATTATAATTGTCATCATTTTTTATTTTCTTTTATCATCATTAACATTATTCATAATTACTAATATATTATCATTGCTATAATAATGATAATGGTGAATTTTTAATGATATATTTGAGAAATAATAATAATAATAATAGTGAAAATAATAAAAATAATGAAAAATGAAAATGATTATAAATCCTTATTATCATTACCATTACAATTATCATTATGATCATTATCGTTTATTATCATTATGATCATGATCATTATCATTGTCATCGTGGTAGTTGTATCAATAAAATCATTAATATTACTACCATTATTGTTATTTTGTTGTTGTTTTGTTTTTGTTTTGCTGTTTTGTTGTTGTGCTTTTATTATTATTATTCATTACCATTATTATTATTATTATTATTATATTATTATTGTTGTTGTTGCTGTTGTTATTATTATTTCTATTATTATTATCATTATTATTATTATTATTATTATATATATATATCATTATTATCATCACCATATATCATCACCATTATTATCATCACCACATATCATTATTACTGCTATTATCATTATTATCATTGGAAGTTTTAGTAGTATTTAGTAGTATCATTACTATTATAATTAATCCTCATTATAATGGTCATTTATAACCCTCATTATTCACCTTCATCTTCATCATTATCTTCATCACTATCATTGCTGTTATTACCATGATTATAATTGATATTAAATAAATTATTGAGTTAATTATTTTTTTCGTGGACAAGCCTTTTTTCCCATAACCATAAAATATGGCCGAATTGTTAGCGCTTTTTAATTAATTGGCTGATCAAGAAAGTCAGAGTTGCATTCCGATGACGAAGGAAGTCAAATTTGGAAAGGGCGAAAGAGGACGAGTTTTTTACTATATTTAGCTTTGAAGTAAGAAGGCAATAAACTATTATTGAAAAAGAGGAAGGAAGACCGGAAATCCATGCCTCGTTTGTATTCGCTGAACGTCTTGCCTCAGACGTCGGCAGAGAAAGAGGAGCGAAATAGTCTAATTAAGTCCGCCAAAGGTTCATTGGAATCGGAGGCAAAGGAAAGAGTCTTCTTGGACGATAAGTTTTTGCTCCCCGCTGTCGCTGTTCCTCGCTACCAGCCGATAGAGTAACAGGTAATGATGTTTCTCCGGCCGCTAATGGGCCCGAGGGTGCTGGAGTGCGACGCCGCGCAAACAAATATCATGAGGGTGATCCTGTACAGCTACCGAGGGACACAGTGACCCTTTGTGGGCACTCTGGCACTGCTGCTGCTCAAGTGCCTCCACACCTTCCCGCGTGGGACTTGCGGGCTCTTACGTCAACAAATAGGTTACCGCCTTGCCGCCGCCATACCTCTATGGGACGCCGCGACGCGTTTCTCGGGCAGATGCAGCCCACCCATCATCCCACTTGACCTCGGATCAGGTCTCCCTCGTATCAAAGGGCTCTGGCACCGTCTGCTCTGCGGTGCCTTGCGGTGCCACTCCTCCGCGCTCCTCGGCTCCTGGTTAGGCCCTCGACGTCCTCCTCAGGCTCCGAATTCTCCCACGTCCCTCCCTTTCTGTCCACGGACTGACCGCTTATGACCCTCGCGCGGAGATTACGGCCCTATCTCGGCCGTCATCACGGGTCGCCATTCACCTCTGACTTGGCACCGCGAGGGAGGAGAGCCATGTGGCCCGAGGGGAGGCGAGGGGAACACTTGAGAATGTCTGTGAGGCACGCGGGGAGAGGGGAGCGCCGCCGCGACCACGGGAATGCATATGAAAGTAGCGCCGCGCCCGGGGGACTCTGAGACAGCCTCCCCCCAAGTGCCTAAAGGTGTTACGCGTCGCAACGAGGGGAAATTGGCGGCCTCCAAAGCTGTCATCGTCCTCCCCTAGAGTCTGTCACGTGTAATCATAGGGTGAAGTTTTTGCCACGACCACTGTGTCAACATTCCCCTCTTAGAGCGAGGGTAGGGAGGGGATTAACTTCAGAAGATGTCTAGAGGTTGCAAGAAAACCCCGGTGCATGGTGACAGAAGCGGCAACTGTTCGGCATGAGCACGCACCGTCACAGAAGTCTAAATATAATCCTTCTTCATATAATCCGAATACCCAGCGCGCCGTTACAGCACGCCACGCAACTAGAGGATGAAAAATGATATGCGAAGAATCCTAGATCCACCCTTAGGGCAAGCCGCCCTTGCCTGCTTGCTGACAACATAATGGTGACAGATCTGACTCGCTCTGTCTTGTATCGTCACCAGCACACCCCCTCTGGCCTCGGTTAGCCTCCGTGACCTTGCCTAACCTGTCATTATATTTTGTCTTGGTGCTGGATGCGACCTCGTCTAACTGGGGGCTTCGAGTCAGTCTAGACTTCGATTCGACACAGCCGGGGTTGGGCTCTCGGGGTGATGCAAGCGGGTTCTTCTTCATGAGATAATGATAGCGTTGTGTATGTCCTAGGCAGTTAGTATGTACGAAATCTATAAATCTCACCGTTTACATGAATCGAAAGGTGCTGATACAAACATGGGCTTTGTGATATCATCTAAACACATATACAAGCACGTGAACGCTCACCTCCCCCCCCACACACACACAAACAAGCAAACAAACAATCACACACACAAACAAACAAACACACACACAAACAAACACACAACCCCCACACACAAACAAGCAAACAAACACACACATACAAACACCCCCTACACACACAAACAAACAAACACACACACCCCCCCCACACACACAAACAAGCAAACAAACAAACACATATACAAACACCCCCTACACACAAGCAAACAAACAAACACATAGCTTTGTTGTATTACTTACGTTTCCTAATTCTCGAGGCGATGAAGTCAGGAAGGGACACAGAAGACATTCGCTTCAGTTTCTTGAACATGGCGTCGGTCGTTTTAATTTTCTGTAGTTTACGTATTTTGTGTTCTCCAATTTTTTTGTCTCCTCTAGTTGTCGTTTTTTTATTTCTTCAATTTTTCGTATTGTGTTTTTTTCAACTTATGTGTTTTCTTTCGCAAATTTTCGTATTTGTTTTCGTGTGATTTTGGTATTTTGTTTTCTATTATTTTCGTTTTTCGTATTTCTTCAATATTCGTATTTGTTCTCTCCAAATTTCGTATTCGTAAGCAGTTTAGAAATCCACTACAGTTATTTCAGTTCGTATTTTTATCGCCATATCAAGAGCGCCTTTCCAAGCTTTTTTTCAAATTTCATAAATATATGACGATTACCCATAATTCCTCATCGTAAATATGATGATAAAAATTTCAAAAATTTCCCCCCGAGTGCGCATAACGATCTTCACCTCATAATATTTCGCGTTTTAATAGGTCGTAAGTCCCCCACACTCGCTCCCACGACCATCGGCTCACTTAGAAGTCTTTTATGAAGTCGTGTCAACCTCGTACGACCTTGAATACGACCGGGATGAAGGTCGACCCCGTACGACTTTGTTCCTGGTCGTTCGTTCGAAAATGGTGTCCCCTTCTTACCTCCGCTCCATGTTGTATGTTGGGCCCCTTTATTTGACCTGTATGTTGCGGTGTTGCTACATGTCGGTAGCTTTTCACTGAGGGAGAAGGAGAGAAATTAGGTTTCGTTGATTTTCGTTTTTTTTTTTCGTGTCGTGATCTTGATGAGGGGGGGGGGGATGCGGTAGAGTAGGGGTCTACAGATATTCAAAAAACAGGGTTTAGGGAAGAGACATAGGGACACAGTGACTCATTTAGTCACACCCAAACACACACACACACACACACACACACACACACACACACACACACACATATATATATATATATATATGTTGTGTGTGGTGTGTGTGTGTGTGTGTGTATATATATATATATATATATATATATATATATATATATATATATAGAGAGAGAGAGAGAGAGAGAGAGAGAGAGAGAGAGAGAGAGAGAGAGAAGAGAGACAGAGAGAGAGACGAGAGGGACTTCTTGTGAGATTTACTAGAATAAATCCCATAAAAACATGTAAATGCAAGCCACGTAACCCATTAGTCAAGAAGCTTGTTGATCTTGCTCCTGACTTCACACCCACACCGTATTTGGACGAAAAATTTATGGGAAGAAGTCATAAAAAGCAAGTAATCTGCGATAATAAATGAGAAGGAGACGACCGACAAGGCGCCCGACGTCACGCTGCCTCATTCTCCTCAAATCTAACACCTCATGAAGCAATATTCCCATTCCGACTCACTCATTATCCAATTACCCAAGTATAAATTACTTCATTGAATCCACCCACGTTTCGCACCTCGTTTCTCAGCTCTTCAGAGACGGCCTCTTGCCTCACCACCGCAAATAAGCCCTTTTGCATGTCCTCATCGCCAATTTAGCCACCCTCATGGTTTCCTCATGGCTCGGATGAACAGGCTACATATTCTTCTTGGTGGTATTGTAGTCAGAAATTTGTAAGTGATATCGAAGTGAAATTAACCAGCCATGACCTCAACTTTGGGGAAATATCTCAGAGGGACTTTTTTAAGTTTTCGTTTTAAGAGTATTCAAAAATCACCCTAATATCGTCGTAGTTATGGTTATTTTCATCTAACATAACATGAAAAAAAGTTTTCGTCTTAAAAGTATTCAAGAATCCCTTTAATGCCGCCTTAATTAGGGTTATTCCATCTATCTTAACCCATGAAAGAACCACAGCCCACCACCAGAGGCCGGTCTCATCTAGGGGGGAAATCTTAACGAGGATGAACAGATCTTGAGGTCAGTTCTCGAAGAGGGATGGCGGAGGGAGGGGCCATATTTAGTAACACCAAGCCGCCCCCTCTCCACCCCCCCCTCTCCACCCTGCACCTCTCCCCCCTCTGGCCTGACACGCGCTGGCTTGGGTTCTCGTCTCGCAGGTTACGCGGCTGTTAAAGGTCGGTCGTGTATTAATGAAGTCACTAAGATATTCTGTCTGTAATATGTTCCCATTTTCCGAGCTTTCCATTCATAGAATGAAGCACAAAGGGAGGTAGTAATGAAGGCCAGATGTGGAGGTCCGCATAAAGAACATCTGTAAGTGTCTGGCGGTGCGGAGGTGCGAGAGACCAGGCCGCGTCTGGTATGGTAACCTGCCCCGCTTGGCCGGCCGCTCGGCGAGTGTCGCATATTTGTAACATAGAACAAACTCTTTGCTGGCTTTCTTATACTTTACAATTTCTGTTACAGCATAAAATATATGCTGATGGCTATGTGATACAACACAAAACGATTTGTCGGGAAGAAAGAACTGGAGTTCTGCCAGACACACAGCGACATCCGTGCACTCGTGTTGATGCATTGTCGCCACGAAAGTGTTAAGAAACGGGATCTCACGCTTACACCTCGTTACTGCGAGATTTATGAAGAGCGTGACCTTTCTCGCCTCGCAAGTGGACGAGGCCAAGGGCTGGTCCGAACCACTTTGCAGTACTTATGCAAACTCTATTGACGGATCACTTAGTAAGTTTGTAAACTATTGCTG